TGCTTTCCAGTCAGATGCACAAAGACATGAAATCAAACCCGCACACCCTGACGCTCCAGTTACACACGTATGGATAATGAGATCCAGTGTCTGCTCTTTGGATCTTTCTGGCTGAGCATCTGACTGGACTTCAGTTGCCGTTGCCAGGCAATAGCTTCAGCCAATCAGAGAGCCGCGTTTGCTCAATTCACCCTGTACCACAGCATTACACATGAGTGAGGGAGAGGGAACTATGGGCTGCTAAAAGGCTCTCAAAAGCTTGTGGCTTCATCAATTATTAAGGGTATTAAATTGTATTTACACTGAACAGACAGTTGTGTGAGTGTGTATGTGTGTGTGCCCTGCAGCTGTAGTGAAATCACCGTGATCACATTAGAGGAAGGCAGTCTGTCTTTGAGGATCAGTTAGTTCAACCCTTTTCCAGTCAGGTATATACTAATATAGTTTTATGATATTAAGAGGATACGAAGCCCCACACATGACATGCAAGAAAAAAGAAATAAATCGTGCACACAATTTACTAATTCGTTCCCTCGATGTACTAAAACGTGCACACAATTACTATTTAGTTCCCTCGATTTGCTAAATCGTGCGCACAATTTATATATCGAGGGAACAAAATAGTAAATTGTGCAACCGATTTAGCCTACTATTTTTTTCCTGCATGCCATGTGTGGGGCTCCGTAAGAGGACCCTGTTTTGTTGCATACTACAGATCAAGTCCAGTCCATTCAAGCTTTGTCTGTCAGTCCAGTGTTATTTTACTACTATTTACAGTATTTCAAAAAAATGTTGATCAGCATTTTTTCAGTTTTCATTTTAATTGAACTTTTAGTCATTTTGATTTTGTATGTGCTTAGTAATGTGCTTTTGTCATTTTTACATTAAAAAATTTTTTATTTTAAATTATGTTCTTTTTTAATATTTCTATCTTATTATTAGGGGTTCAAGCGCGTAGCTCTGAAACCCTATTTTAATTGTTAGAATGGTCACGGATGAGTGATTTCTACGTAAAACTGATCGTGCAGACCAAAGCGTAAGTCGTAGAGACTTGAAACTTGGAGGGATGGTAGTACTCACACCGCCTACAATGTGACTGAGGCTCGGCCCAATCGGCCTGACGGGGGCGCTACAGCGATCGAAAGTACGAAATCGCTCATAACTCCTAAACCATCAGTCGCAGGCTCAAGTGTCTTATGTTGTTGGAATCCTTGGTTCATGCCGGACAAAATTCACTGGTGAGTGAATATCAATAATTATAAAAAAAAGTTGAACTTTAGACTCACCGTGGCAAAAGGACGCCAAAACGTTCGAAGGGGGCAGGGCCACTTTTAGTAAAATGCCTATAACTCCTGAACGGAATGAGATATCTTCGCCAAACTTGAAACACTTATGAGAGCTCAAGCTGAGGTTGCAGGAAAAAAACACGGAGACTGGCCACTTGGTGGCGCTATAAGAGGGAAAAAACATAAAAAATGGCTATAACTAGGCAACATTTGTCCTATCAACATGAAAATCGCTGTGCACGGTCTTGGTCCAAAGTGCCACAAGTGTCTATGGGGACATTTGCGTATCTCAAAAAAACATGGCTGCCATTGGCCGATAAAGTTTGAGCACCTATTAGACAAGGTTAACGGAGGCTGATCGGAACGAAACTTGGTGGGCCTGTTTGACTCACGGCCCCAAAGGTAGAAAGAAATCGGCCACTGGGGGGGTGGTATCATATTTTTTGAGGGCGTAAACGATTGTGCATTGCGCGGTTTTCCGCACATACACGCGATATTTGTATCGTATGATAGACCTCCTCATTCCGAACAACTTTGCCTCTAAAACCACTGCTGTCAATCAAACTGCTTTTTAAATGATTGAGAAGATATGAAAAACCTACTTTTGTGAACTAGTCCTAGGTTTTTCGCTCAGTCTGGAAAAAAACACCACAATTCTCTGGACTCTGGATCAATAATTATCAAAAACATGTTGAAATTTACCCTTTGGAAAGCTACAACGGGGTCCTTTAGAAAAGGGGCCTGTCCAAATATACCC